CTGTTACTAGACCTTACCTTACCTCCTCTTGATTTCCTTACCCTTTCCCATGTACGGTCCCTTTATTAAATGATTTTCCTGAGATCTCCTTCCTGCCAGGAACATAACTGATACATATCGCAATCAATGTATAATATCCTCCACTACCTCTGTGCTGTATGGTGAAACGTTGCATATTTAAATGAAGCACTGATGTGTAACTGTTGAAGTTTCTGCTAAGAAATCGCTGATTACCTTAACCAAACGGGGCAAACACAGCCTCTCCAATGAATATTAGCTCTTCTCTCGAGACCACATGATTAATTTTGTCAATTAGTCAAGAAATGAGTTTTAAGAGTTTAACATGACGAAGACATGAAATCAGATCGCCTCTACTTTGAAGTTCTCACAATGATCAAAACAATCTCCTCTCTGGAAGAATCTTTAAGGCCTACATGTTCACCTAATATACAAATTATGTGGTAAAGAACATAAAGTACAAGGCTATTAAACATTAATGTGCAGATTTTCTTCTGAAGTGAAAGAGGCAACCAGGAATCCACACACACAGGTGTTTTGCCCAGTGAGCCTAGGGACCCTCTAACCAAACTGGGCAGCACTGGCAGGAGCTGAGATTAGGCAAGATGCTGAATCTCTCAGAATAGCCCTTCACTCCTGAATGCAAAGTCAAGTTCATTCATCGAGGCCAAAATCATTTTTCTGAGAAAGTTTAAAATGTAAACTCTTCTGGGAAAACCAACACAATTACATACTCCTTGGTAGTCAAGAATAAACAACATCTTTTGCTCTCTTCTTATCTGAGGGCAGGTTTCAACGGGAGAAGCACAAGAAACCTGAGCATACCCTGGTGGCATCTTATGCGCATTTCAATAATGCGCATTTTACACAGTGCTGTAAGAAACACGATCTCCCTTTATCAGCCAAGTCTGAATGAATTAAAAAATAAAAATGTAATCAAGAAGAGCATCATTTCAGAGCTGGCAGGCCAAGTGATTATAAACTGTTCATTCCATTTCACATGGCAGGGCCACGTGAACTGGGAAATAAAAACTCTGGTCATCTTTCGCCAGGATGAAACCTGAGTTTCGTGGATTTTTAATGATGTGAGGTCTTCAGGAACACATCTTTTGCATGAGGTGTATATGCCCTGTATTTAGATGTGGCCGAGATGAGGGACAGAAGAGGAGGTCAGAGCAAATGGAAAACGGGGTGGGACGTGTAATCAGGAGGGGAAAGAAGAGGCAGAAAAAAGAACTGCATGGCGTGAGAAACAGGCTTTCTTAAGTCTCTTATTTTGCTAAGCATCACCCTTTATTTTCTATTCACACTTTAAAAATGCAACATAAAAAGAAATATCTAAATCTTTATATCACCAACTCATGAATGGCTTGATCTACACTCACTTCAATACTGATAACACTGGAAGTTAACTCAATGCAAATTTGGGAAACAAATGCTCTCTCTCTCTCTCTCTAAAATTCTACTCGATGAAACGATGAATGCTAATGTCATGCTTTTAATAATACAATTTTATTAAATCTGAAGTCCTCCAACCCACTAGTTAAACACCAATTCAATGCTTAACAGAATGTTCTGCTTTGAATTGCTTCCGTTTCCCAGGTGGAGCGCTGAACTTCACCACACCTGTGGCTTGCAGTCTTGAAGTCTGCAACAGAGCTCCAGGCAACAGCCCCTCAGACATATGTTTTGGGACTAATAGGAAAATGTTCAGGTCTTGATGTTTCAAGAAAACTATGAACAGAGAATTAATAAATGTCTAAACAACCTCTCAAAAAGTACCACAAAACATTCCAATACTAAATTTCACACGTAAAGAAGAAACAGTTTAAAATTTGGTATCTGTCACAGCTTTGAGCCTTTCAAATGGGTCAGTGATTTATATGACAGCGTGTCCTGTAGGTTCCTATAGTTCACAAATTGTCCATCAATAGAATAAGTTTCATACTACTAATGTCATATTACAATTTCCATAAAGCATCTCCATTGTTTCAAATGTACAAGAATATATTGGTTACCATGAGCCCCATCTAGATTTGAATAGAATGTGGCACAAGAAGATGTAGGTCTCAAATTGAGAAGGAATTAGGATAACTGATCCTGTGTTGCATGACACTACATATTGCACATGGTAGCCACTGACTTATTATGTTTGCATATGGATTTCTGAGATTTATTATTACCAAAGAATCTTTTAAAATGCTGATATATTTTCATGATACATAAGGCCAATATATGTGTTCGTAAAATCCACTCTTTGAAAAATGATTTGCCATGAGAAAAATATATAAAAAGTTCCTGGTAAAATGAAGGTATCTTGTTTTATCTGGACAAATCTTTACCACTGAATTTGCACTCTCAAACATAAAGATTATTTTAGAAAAATCACTGATTTTAAATTATTTATTTATAAGCAATCCTAGGCATTGCCAAAACTTGTATGAAAAGCTCCCAGAAAAGAAAACTGCTTTCCTCTAATGTGTGATAACACTAATAAGACACATCAAAGGGGAGTTTGTGCCCATGAAAATTTCTTTGCACTTCAAATCTTCTGTTTGTGTAAAGCCATGGGCATTTTGGTATCAAATGAAAGGGAACTGCCAGCCATACAGATTATGTGTTTCAGAAATAACCTGTTTTCAAGTGTAAAACAAAATCACTATTTCCTTAGATCACATGTTTCATTGAAAAAGTGAAGATAAAGGGCTTGTTGGTAAAATGATAAAACAAAAACATCATCCAAGGCATATTCATATTGTTTTAAATTTTTGATAACTACAAAGACATACACTGATTGTTCAGGATTCAATTAGCAGCTGCTTGCATATATCCAACCTTAAAGCAAATTTTTTAAACTAATTCAACTCTGCTTCCTACTTCTTCATTAATTACTAGCTAAGGGACTTGAAAGTGCTCTAATGAATTTTACATTAGATTCTGCAATATGAACAGTGTATACTATCACAGCACCTAGTAAATGCATAAGCTGGCTTTTCCAAGTTACATTTTGAGCAGTTGTAAAGATTCTGGCTGGATTTTTACAACATTTAGCATTAGAGACTGAGCCGAAAAGAATTTTTACAAGAAACAAGTTGCTGTAATCACACTTCCCAAGTTATAAATCTATCTACTACTTTATAATACTCTGTCCTATTTCTCAAAGCCCTTATTTTTCTCTCCTGTGGTTCAACATGAAAAGAAATAATGCATATTTCTAAATATGCATTAAATAAGGCTTAAAATATTTCTGCTATACTAGCTTTCTGTAAATTTCATATTATAAATTATCTTGCAGTCATTATTAGCAAACCATCACATTTTGGAGTCAATGCTTATGGTTTATGACTTCGAAACTGTTTATCATCTCCATAAAATTCTTTGAAATCAGAAGTTTCTGAAAACTATACACAAATAGACTGAGCAAAAAAAAAGGGCAGAGCACTGCACCCAAATCCAGTAAGAAATAGGTAGAATCTTAAAATTGCCCTATTAAAGAGGAAAATACAGACTACCATGGAAACCTCATAGAAAGCTTTCTTTTAAAAATATTTCTCTAATTTCATAGCAAGATAAAAGATCATCTACTGAGAGTTGCCCAATAAAATATGATATTATAAATGACACACCATCCTTAATTGAATGTTTCATGCAAATATCATATTGGTATTATTGATCACAATTGACATGATACAGCAAAGTCATATTGGGACTAAGTTTAGAAGTGTAAAAACTGGGTGAAAAATACAATGGAGCTCATGGTTAACAAAAGTCAGATACGGATTCTCAATGATTATTCTTAAAAGCATCAAAAGCCACCACAATTTGCACTGCTTAAAGATTAGCATCTGATAACAGTCCTATTAATGTCTTTATTAATACTTAATAATGCTCTAATAAATCATTTGATTTTTACAGTTATTCCCTTCAAGCTGTTTTTCCTAATCTGGTTGTCAACATAATCATATATGCAGTTCTGCTCTTCACCATCAAGAGTTTACTTCCTAAAGAAAATGTCCCTCAAATTCATCTCTCAACCTTGCATCATAGAGTAGAGGTTTCTCTTCTAACTCTTCTTTCTCATAATTTAGATTGAAGAAGACAAATATAAGTTGAAAAAAATAAAGCTATCAATAATTCACCAGTCAGAATCAAAGTGTAGTATTATATCAACCAAGATTTGCCTCTCAGAAGTTTGATAGTCCATTAAAAATGCCTATTATCAGAGTCAAAGTAGTTTTGGTCCCACCTGTCACTATCTTAAAGACTGCATTACCTAGGAATTTCACGGGCAGCAAAACTGCTGGTTTAGCCTCATAATTTTGGAACATCTTAAAAATATTTTCTTTCTATCAACACTTAGATTAAAATAGAGTTTCTATTTCAATTGTGCAAATTGTTAAACATTAAAATCCACTGCAGTGAAACAAATATCAAAGCTCTCATGGACATTATGCTCTTTAGCTGTTTTCATATTTTGCTCACATTCTGCAAGGAATTCAGAAATCCAAAAGAAATGTTCTTAACTCTTTCACTGTTAAGTTCTAGAATCAAATACTGGAAATAATCTATGGATTATAATGATCAAAGAGTTCTAGAGAATTTCTAAATACCTGCAGGAAGAACAGCTTTGTGATTTTCCAGCAAACTGCAGCAAGCAGGAGAGAGGGGAAAAAAAACCCTCACACAATCATGCATTTTTAAAAAATCTTTCTACTCTGCAGACACTGCCTCCTTCCATTGAGGCACATTTAACAACGGCACTGCCAAAAAGACATAAAAGATACATCCACAGAATCCAGTTCTCTCCCCAAATTACAGCTGCACTGCACACATTTTTAGAAACGTGGATCTCAGTACACACAACTGTATTTTATTGACAACATTAAAAATAAACACGACACAGAAATAGTGAGCCTTTCCTATTCCATTTCAACTTCGGTACTATACTCCATCAGTCTCTATTAAAAAAAAAAATTCATTACCTGTATGAAGAGAACCTGTTAATAGTCTGAGAAGGTACTGGGCAAATTTCAATATTTCACGTTTACACCGTTTTCTACAGCCACTCATCTTAAGCAACAAGGTATTCCTCTGAGGAGAGCCAGAAGTCTTTGCCAGTAAAAAAAAAAAGAAAAGAAAAGAAAAAAAAGACAGTCTCTGAGGGGAAACTTCTTTCTCAGTTTGTGTCACAGGCTGCCTTACAACTCCTGTGGAATTAGCTGTTAGTGCCTGAATCAGAAATTCCTTTAAAAAGCTAGACAAGCCGGATACAGACAGAACAGTAACAGGGTGCCGAGAAAGGGCTGCGTCTCGGTACGGTCACCAAGTTCTTCTGTGGCAACAGATAGGCTGCCGCTTCACACTTGTAGTCACCCACTGTGGCTCAGCTCAGCATCCCTCCCCAGGAGCGATCGCAACCTCACAGACCATTCAGAGGGAGGCGGGGCCTGCAATGCCAGCTCATCAGTGAATCAGCATGTAAGCAGGTGAGGGGACAGAAGACAGGTCACTGGGGCTGGAACCTTTTGGATACCAATAAAAGGAGCCTGCTAATGCAATCAAGCCTGCTGGGGAGGAATCTCAGGAGCCAAGGCTGCACAAAATGATTCCCCCACTCCACTGCCAAAAAAGGCAAGTAGGAAAGCATGCTGTTCAAGGTCAGACACCAGACAACTCCCTGGTGGTGTTAATCAGACTCAGGAAGCCTAAATGGTGAAAAGGCTCATTTGAGAAACGGACCCTGCTTATAGACAAACAGAGCTGAAGATTTACCACCAAACACAGGCAATGCTCTTTTGTCACAGATAAATATATTCCACTTCATGGGCACAGAAGTGGAAAATAAGCTGTTCTCCAAATTTGGCTGTGTTTTTCTGCACTGTCCAGGCGCAGGTGTTTGCAAGGTAGGGGGGAAAAATTACTGTCTCCTTTAAAATACAGTAGCCTGAAAAACCACAACTCTTAAGCCCCTATAATTTGCCTCCAGGCAACAGAGCTCCAAAACTAACTTAACCACATTATCCTAAGAGAAAGAGCTGCCTCAGTTTCTTCGTATTTCTAAAAGGCAAAGTGCAACCTGCAGCTCCTTACCAGTTGACTTATTTTAAGTTAATAGTGAACAACTGAGAGAGTTTGCAATTCTCACAAAGTGCTTTTCTATTAAAGACAGAGTTACAGAGGTAGGCAGTTGCTATAAAAGCTAGGAAAATACAGGCTTGCCTTCTCGGAAGGTGCACTTTTAGGCTTATTTTATTTATTTATTTATTTCCATTCTTGAGTGCCTTGGGCAGTTTCAAGGATTTGTCTCCCTCTAATTTATATTCAGAGTGTTTGTTTATGTATTTGTTTTTGCCTGTTTTGCATATATATATAAACATTACCTCCCAGAGATTTAGTATATATTGATGTACATCCTCCATATTTTAAATATCTAGACAGATCTTTTTTTTTTCTGACAATTATAACAATTCTGGTTGGAACGAATATTTCTCAACAACACTATGCGTGGAATGATGTTCTTTTACAATAAAGAAAGAAGCACTCCTGGAATCGTGGACAAACAGATTTAGCAGCAACTCACTCTTCTCTCTAACCCTCCCAGATTCTCACCAGACTCACTGGTATAATCATCTGAATGGGATAATGGAGCATGCTTTCCAGGAATTTTTCAGAGCTTTAGTTGAAAGTCTCTGAGATTAAAACAAACAAACAGAAAAGGTTTATACACAAAGGTTAGCAATATATGTTTTAAAGTTCTTGCTCCCATGCATTTGCTGTGAGTGATGACAACTCTGACTCAGTTCAAAATAGGCAGAAATACACTGGAATAGTTGAGACTGATCATTTGAAAGCCCCACTTTCTTATCTATAAAAAGGGTAACAGGACATTTTGTTCCTTTGATGGAAAGTAAAATAAGATATGATGTAGCTGACATTAAGCACAGCAATTCCATTCATTTATGCAAAAATTATGTACTTAGCATTTGTTGTGTTCCATTCAGGGTTCCAGGTCCTGGAGATACAGCAGTAACCAAGAAAGGCAAAGCCCCTGCGTTCATGGAGCCTACGTCTCGGATTTGAAAACAATAAATTAGCAGAGTAAATAAGAAAATATCACAGATGAATAAGTGCTATGGAGAGTACTAAAACCAGGTTGATAGAATAGAAAATGAACAGGTTGAACAGCTAGTGAAAAGACTTCTTAAAAAGACAGTTAATCTGGGATATACATTACAAGAAGGAGCCAACCATCAACTATGAGATGTTTGAGGAAAGAGCATGTCGGGCAGAGTGAAAAGCTTGTGCCAACACTCCAAGATGAAAAAGAGCTTGGCATCCTCAAGAAACAGAAAGAAAGGTATGGCTGCAGAAGTGTACTGAGTCAGGAGAGCTTAAGGAGATGATTTCATAGAGGGAGATGGGGGCTACGAGCCAGGATCTACTAGTATATAGGGCTTTATAGCCAGGGTGAGGAATCTGGATTTAGTCTGTGTGTACTGGAAAGTCACTCCAGGAAACGAGAAAGTTACATGATCTGTCAGCTATATAAAGGATGAATTGGAGGGGAGTAAGACTGGAAGAAGGAACACCTATGAGGAACATCACAGTGATCCAGAAGAGAAATGATGGTGGCATGGCTTGGAGTGGAAAGGAGATGTGGTTGGATTTCTGGATATATTTTGAAACAGAATTTGTAGAGTTCGGAATGAGGGAAAGAGAAGAATTAAGAACGACTTAGTTTAGGGTTTGAACAATTAGACGAATGAATTGGTAAAACAGCAACACTATGGGTAGACTATGGGAGTTAAGAAAATTAAAAATTCCACTTTGGGCATATTAGAATTAAGATATTTTAATGTATTCAAAATTCAAGATATATATATTTTAAGTAATTCATTTAAAAATACCTATTTAAAAGGATGATATCACTATAGAAGCTGCAGATATCAAAGGATAATAAGACAATACGACAGAGAACTCTATAGACATAAATTTGACAATTTAGATGAAATGGATCAATTCTTTAAAAACTCTACCAAACATGAAATAGATAATTTGGACATCTTTATAATTGTTAAATAAATTGAATTTACAATTTTAAAACTTCTGAAAAGAAGAAATCTTCAGGCTATATGATTTCATTGGAGAAGTCTACCAAATACGTGAAGACAAATTTATATCAATCCCTCACAATACCTTCAAGAAAACAGAAGGGAGTTAACACTTCCACACTCCTTTTATGAACACAGTATTACCCTAATAAAGACAACACCAAAAAACTAAACTACAAACAAAGATCTCTCATTATATAATATAGACTCAAAAAATCCTTAACAAACATTAACAAAAAATTCAGCAATATATAAAAAGGATTATGTACCACAACCAGGTGGGGTTCAGTTGAAGGCCATAAGGCTGTAAGACTGACTTGATATGGAAAATCCAATCAAAGTAATCTACCATATTAACAGCTAAAGAAAAAGAATCACATAATAATATCTATTGATTCAGAAAAAAATATATATGACAAATTCAACATGCAGTCATGTTAAAAAAAAATCAGTAAGATAGGAATAGAGGGCAACTTCCCCAGCTCAATAAAGCATATCTACAAAAACCTACTGGTAATAGTATACTTAGTGCTGAGAAACTGAATGGTTTTACCCAAAGATCAGTAACAAGGCAAGAAAGAAAGCCTGTTTTGACCAGTATTATTCAATATAGTGTTGGAAGTATTATCAGTGCAATAGGTAAGAAAGGAAGTTAATGACATACAGACTGTAAAAAAGAAAATAAAATTATCCTATTTGAGGATGACATGGTTGTCTACGTAGAAAATTCAAAAAAGTTAGAACAAAAAACAAAAAACAAAACCTCCTAGAATTAATAGTGAGTTCAGCAAGGTCACCAATGATACTAGCTGAACTGACTTCACTTGTACTGCTAAGAGTCCGCTGTACTAGCAATGAACGGGACACTGAAAATTAAAACACAGTGTCATTCACAATTGCTCAAAAACTGAATACCTAGGTTTAAATCTAATAAAATATGTATGAAATTTGTATGCTGAAAATGACAAAAACCTCTGATGAAGGAAATAAAAGAAGATTTAAGTCAATGGAGATACTCTGTGTTCATATATTGGAATACTCAGCATAGTAAAGATGCCAACGCTCCCTAAATTGATGTACATGTTGAACACAATCCCAATCTGAATCTGACCAAGATTATTTTTTAAATATAGAAAAGACTATGTGGATTATAGGGAGAGACAAAGGAACTAGAATAGCTGAAACAATTTTGAAAAGAAGATTAAGTCTTGAAATAATTCTACCTGATTTCAAGAGCTGCGTGGTTTCAAGACTGTGGCATTGGTAGAAACATGGGCGCATAGTTCAGTGAGACTGAACAGAAAACCTAAAAAGAGATCCACACAATTATCACAACTGATTTTTGACAAAAGATGCCAAGAAATTCAATGGAGGATACGGAGTCTTTCAGCAGGTGGTTTTTGGGCTATTGGACATTTATAGTCAAAAACAACCTTCACCAAGATCTCATACCTTATACGTATATTATTAGTTCACAGTGGATCATAGAATTAAATGCAAAATTATAAAAGCTTTAAAAAGTAGGAGAAAATCTCTATCATTTGAGGCTAGGCAAAGATTTTTCCGACTTGACACCGAAAGCATTACTTATAAAAGAGAAATTGCTAAGTTGGATGTCATCAAATTTAAAAACTCTCACTCATCAAAGACCCTGTTAAGACGATGAAAACAAGCTATGGAGTGGAAGGAAATATTTACAAACCACATATCTGACAAAAGACTAGTATCCAGAATACGTAAAGAACTTACAAAAAAACAGTAAAAAGCACACAATCCAATTAGAATATGAACAAAAGACACAAAGACATTTCACAAAATAAGATATACAAATGGCAACAGAGCATATCAAACATACTTGATACCATTAATCATTATTGAAGTGCAAAATAAAACTACAATAAGGTATCATTATACATCTATTAGAATGGCTAAAATGAAAAATTAGTGTTCAGACCAAAGGTTGGTGAGGATGCAGAGAAACTGGACCATTCATATATTGCTGGTGGAAATGTGAAATGGTACAGCCACTTTGAAAAAATAGCCTAGGAACTTTTTAAAAGAATTCTAAACATACATCAACCATTTAATCCAGCAGTTGTACTCCTGAGCTGTTATCCCAGACAAATGAAAATACATGTTCAGCATTTATAGTATTTTTGTCTGTAACAGCCCCAAACTG